ACGTGCCGCACTTGTTATTTGATGTCATCATGACCTAAGTTGTGGCAGTGGGGTTTGAACCCACCACTACAGGCAACGTCCTGTCGCTTCACACAACTCCACCACTTTCTTCTCGCTACGCCCATGTACTACCTTTTATAAATAGGTCACTGCTGGTTGGTATATGGCAATCGACGTCATACTTAAAAACTTGGTGGATTAGTAACTTGTGTGTTTGTACCCCCCCCCCCCCTAGAGGGTAGCAGATGTAGGTGCAGCATATGTTAACATTTATCTACAACTTGCTGATAACAAAAAAATTGTCAAAACAAAAATCAATCAACAAGCCATACAATGAAGTCGGTGCACAGACAAGTTTCCCTGTTCCCTACATAGATCTAACACGTGCGAGAGAATTCCATTCAAACTCCCAGTTCAAATATTCTAAGAAAACGAGTTTATAAAGTACAAACTTTTTTTAAATTCTCTGTTTGCTGTGTAAACTTCATTATGAAAAGCCACGCCCATACATAGATCGTAGTTTTCTATTTGCAACAAGTAGCCTTGTATTACGTCGTGATGTGTTCTCTCAATGTTTACCTGTTTCAGCAAATCAGATGGTTTCTATAGACGCCTTAATGGTGTGTATGGAGGAGGGGGGGCGTATCTAGGGACATTGATGTAACCAAGAACATGATGTAACCAAGACCATGATGTAACCAAGAACATGATGTAACCAAGAACATGATGTAACCAAGAACAGGATGTAACCAAGAACAGGATGTAACCAAGGATGTAACCAAGACCATGATGTAACCAAGAACAGGATGTAACCAAGGATGTAACCAAGAACATGATGTAACCAAGAACATGATGTAACCAAGAACATGATGTAACCAAGAACAGGATGTAACCAAGAACAGAATGTAACCAAGAACAGGATGTAACCAAGAACAGGATGTAACCAAGAACATGATGTAACCAAGGATGTAACCAAGAACAGGATGTAACCAAGAACAGGATGTAACCAAGGATGTAACCAAGACCATGATGTAACCAAGAACAGGATGTAACCAAGGATGTAACCAAGAACATGATGTAACCAAGAACATGATGTAACCAAGAACATGATGTAACCAAGAACAGGATGTAACCAAGAACAGAATGTAACCAAGAACAGGATGTAACCAAGGATGTAACCAAGAACAGGAGGTAACCAAGAACAGGATGTAACCAAGAACAGGATGTAACCAAGAACAGGATGTAACCAAGAACAGGATGTAACCAAAAACAGGATGTAACCAAGAACATGATGTAACCAAGGATGTAACCAAGAACAGGAGGTAACCAAGGATGTAACCAAGAACATGATGTAACCAAGGATGTAACCAAGAACATGATGTAACCAAGAACAGGATGTAACCAAGAACATGATGTAACCAAGACCATGATGTAACCAAAAACAGGATGTAACCAAGAACATGATGTAACCAAGACCATGATGTAACCAAGAACATGATGTAACCAAGGATGTAACCAAGAACAGGATGTAACCAAGGATGTAACCAAGACCATGATGTAACCAAGAACATGATGTAACCAAGAACATGATGTAACCAAGGATGTAACCAAGAACATGATGTAACCAAGGATGTAACCAAGAACATGATGTAACCAAGAACAAGATGTTACCAAAAACAGGATGTAACCAAGAACATGATGTAACCAAGGATGTAGCCAAGAACAGGATGTAACCAAGGATGTAACCAAGAACATTATGTAACCAAGGATGTAACCAAGAACAGGATGTAACCAAGAACATGATGTAACCAAGGATGTAACCAAGAACAGGAGGTAACCAAGGATGTAACCAAGACCATGATGTAACCAAGAACAGGATGTAACCAAGGATGTAACCAAGAACATTATGTAACCAAGGATGTAACCAAGAACAGGATGTAACCAAGAACATGATGTAACCAAGGATGTAACCAAGAACAGGAGGTAACCAAGGATGTAACCAAGAACATGATGTAACCAAGGATGTAACCAAGAATGTAACCAAGAACAGGATGTAACCAAGAACATGATGTAACCAAGGATGAAACCGAGAACAGGAGGTAACCAAGGATGTAACCAAGAACATGATGTAACCAAGGATGTAACCAAGAACATGATGTAACCAAGGATGTAGCCAAGAACAGGATGTAACCAAGGATGTAACCAAGAACATTATGTAACCAAGGATGTAACCAAGAACAGGATGTAACCAAGAACATGATGTAACCAAGGATGTAACCAAGAACAGGAGGTAACCAAGAACATGATGTAACCAAGAACATGATGTAACCAAGGATGTAACCAAGAACATGATGTAACCAAGAACATGATGTAACCAAGGATGTAACCAAGAACATGATGTAACCAAGAACATGATGTAACCAAGAACATGATGTAACCAAGGATGTAACCAAGAACATGATGTAACCAAGAACATGATGTAACCAAGGATGTAACCAAGAACATGATGTAACCAAGAACAGGATGTAACCAAGAACATGATGTAACCAAGAACATGATGTAACCAAGGATGTAACCAAGAACATGATGTAACCAAGGGAGGCTAAACGGAATGTAGCCCCCCCCCCCCCCCACTCCCAAAAAATAAAAAAATCCGCTCTAGCTGAATCCGCCCTTGGATGTAATCAAGAACATAAGAACTAACTGGAGTAATTCCTTGAGTTACACATTGCCTCAAGTAGCGTCAGTGACTCCTACAGAAAGACTATGACTCAAATAGCGTCAGTGACTCCTACAGAAAGACTATGACTCAGGTAGAGTCAGTGACTCCTACAGGAAGACTATGACTCAAGTAGAGTCAGTGACTCCTACAGAAAGACTATGACTCAAGTAGAGTCAGTGACTCCTACAGAAAGACTATGACTCAAGTAGCGTCAGTGACTCCTACAGGAAGACTATGACTCAAGTAGAGTCAGTGACTCCTAAAGAAAGACCATGTCTCAAGTAACGTCAGTGACCCCTACAGAAAGACTATGACTCAAGTAGAGCCAGTGACTCCTACAGCAAGACTATGACTCAAGCACTGAAACTCGAGTGCAACACGTGCGACAAAGAGCTGTTATCGAACTCGGCAGAAAATAAAACGTTTGTAATTACACACGACAACATGTCGCCTGCGTGAGCAAGTCACACCCAGCATGTGCCGGTTAGATTTTTATCGTCTGCTTGTTGGGTCGACCACACCACTCCATTTTTAACGTTTTCATTTACTCGAAAGACAAAAGACTACAAATAACTGACTACCTGATTCAACAGGTATCTGAGTAACTCTACGGGTATCTGACTCTACAGGTATCTGACTCTACAGGTATCTGACCCTGCAGGTACCTGACTCTACAGGTACCTGACTCTACAGGTACCTCACTCTACAGGTACCTGACTCTACAGGTGCAAGACTCTACAGGTACCTGACTCTACTTGACTCTACAGGTACCTGACTCTACAGGTACCTGACTCTACAGGTACCTGACTCTATAGGTATCTGACACTACAGGTACCTGACTCGTACCTGACTCTACAGATACCTGACTCTACAGGTACCTGACTCTATAGGTGCCTGACTCTACAGATGCCTGACTCAACAGGTGTCTGATTCTATAGGTGCCTGACTCTACAGATGCCTGACTCTTCAGGTGCCTGACTCTACAGGTACCTGACTCTACAGGTACCTGACTCTACAGGTGCCTGACTCTACAGGTACCTGACTCTACAGGTACCTGACTCTACAGGTACCTGACACTACTCTACAGGTACCTGACTCTACTCTACAGGTGCCTGACTCTACATGTGCCTGACTCTACAGGTACCTGACTCGACAGGTGCCTGACTCTAAAGGTATCTGACTCTAAAGGTACCTGACTCTACAGGTGCCTGACTCTACAGTTCAGGTACCTGACTCTACAGTACAGGTACCTGAATCTACAGGTGCCTGACTCTACAGCACAGGTACCTGACTCTACAGGTACCTGACTCTACAGGTGCCTGACTCTACAGGTGCCTGACTCTACAGGTACCTGACTCTACAGTACAGGTACTAGACTACAGGTGCCTGACTCTACAGCACAGGTACTTGACTCTACAGGTGCCTGGCTCTACAGGTACCTGACTCTACAGTACAGGTACCTGACTCTACAGGTACCTGACTCTACAGGTGCCTGACTCTACAGGTGCCTGACTCTACAGGTGCCTGACTCTACAGGTGCCTGACTCTACAGTACAGGTACCTGACTCTACAGGTGCCTGACTCTACAGGTGCCTGACTCTACAGGTACCTGACTCTACAGGTACCTGACTGACTCTACAGGTACCTGACTCTACAGGTGCCTGACTCTACAGGTACCTGACTCTACAGGTACCTGACTCTACCTGGCTCTACAGGTATCTGACTCTACAAGTGCCTGACTCTACGGGTACTTGACTCTACAGTACAGGTGCCTGACTCTACAGGTACCTGACTCTACAGGTACCTGACTCTACAGGTACCTGACTCTACAGGTATTTGACTCTACAGGTACCTGAGCCTGTCTCACTCTACAGACACCTGACTGCAGACAGTCCGGCAATCTTGTGTAGTGTCCAGCCTGTTTTATCACCGTCTTGTTGTTCAAGTTTTTAAAGTTCTAGATAGATCTAACAGTAGTGCCACAGTACCACCCCCGCCCCCTCTCCTCATACTTCCCAGGCTGCTGTAATTTTTAACTAACCCAACTTTAAATGTGTTGGTCACGTGCTCTTGTCACATTACACGAGTACACATAACGAACGTGTACACATGGACGGTCAAGTTATGCCGTGTGTACACACCGGTTACATGGACTATGTAATAAAATGTACATTATAGATCTATGTATGAATATGTATGTGAGAGCCTACATATATTCTTGTCATATGGACACAGCTATAACAAAATTGTATGCATACCCAGAGATTAATTAATTTACCTGGTTTGTCTTGGACTGTCTCCATTATGTTAATTAACTCCAGCTATATTTAGCACCGGGAATAGTAAAAAAAATAATTAATCCACTACTGGAATTATTCCATGTTTAATTATATTGCACACACTGTAAACACAGCCAAATGAACACACACGTTAAACACACCCCAAGTGAACACGCACATATTATCCGTGTACGCTAGAAATAAAACCTGTTCCCGTTGTTATTTTTTTACCCCTCCCTCCCTACACGCGGGGGGAGACAAGCAACAGGTCTTCCATTCAGACGGTGAAATCCTGACGGGCTGGTCTGGCGGGCTTTCCCACGCCACGGGTCCCGATAGAGGGGGGTTCCTGGGTCCCGATAGAGGGGGAGTTCCTGGGTCCCGATAGAAGTGGGTTCCTGGGTCCCGATAGAAGTGGGTTCCTGGGTCCCGATAGAGGAGGGTTCCTGGGTCCCGGTAGAGGGGGGGGGGGGCTCAAGACTTGGGTAGTCCCCGTCTGCCGGGTCCCGATAACATCACACGGACACCCGCGTGAGTTCAACACAGGTAGGTAGGCCTATCGTGTGACCAGGTGAGAGAAACGGTGTCACGTGATCATGTTATATAAATAAACATCCTGGTGTCAGACGAAAAGGACAATGTCTTGTCATTTTATCATCGCATGTATTATATATATATATATATATATATATATATATATATATATATATATATATATATATATATATATATATATATATATATGCATACTTTTTTCACTCCACCTGCATTACGAAATCCTGCCTGTGCATATATATGTATATAAATGTAACATAAAAATACATTAGCAGCTCTACATCGCATGCATAGTTTGCTGCTGTAGATAACAATTGTATAATATATTGCTGCTGTCAAAATGTTGGTGTTGATACTATTATTAGCATACAGTGTATTTTAATTCTGGGACCGTAGCTGAACAGTAAGGGGAGGTAATTTTATCAGCCTCTCGCTCGTTTCTGATTGGGATAAAATACATCACATAATTTTATGTTGCTGAATAACCTTGTTACATGAATTGGTGTTTTTTTTAAGTAGGCCTACTTGTTTATTAATTTTAGGTTTAAGATGATAACTTAATTATGAAATCATTTAATTTCTGAATTAAAAAATAATTATGTCAGCTTGGTATAAATCAATTATTAGGTTACGCTATATCGGTAAAATCCATTTAATGTTAAAAAAAAAAAAGAGTAACATCTTGCACTTTTAATCAGTTTCTTGTTTTGTAAGAAGCAAACATTTAAATCACTGACAAATAACTGAAGTGAAATAATTAATGTTGTAGGCTAAGGATTGTTCTCATAGCTATAATCTAATCAGTTGTAACTATAAACATGTTTACCATAGTTCTACTGCTCTCTGCATTAGTAAGATTGCTTTACACATCATATCCTCCGGAGAGACCAATGGCCTAAAAATTGCAGTCAATTGGCCATCACCTGTATCAGCAGGACAAGACAGGACCTCGCCTGTATCAGCAGGACAAGACAGGACCTCGCCTGTATCAGCAGGACAAGACAGGACCTCACCTGTATCAACAGGACAAGACAGGACCTCGCCTGTATCAGCAGGACCAGACAGGACCTCGCCTGTATCAGCAGGACCAGACAGGACCTCGCCTGTATCAGCAGGACAAGACAGGACCTTACCTGTATCAGCAGGACAAGACAGGACCTCACCTGTATCAGCAGGACCTCACCTGTATCAGCAGGACAAGACAGGACCTCCCAAATGCCCTGTAGTAGACCTGGGACAACCCAAATGTCAAGGGTGGCCCTAAAGTAGCCTGAGGACAACCCAAATGCCATTGGTGGCCCTGTAGTAGACCTGGGACAACCCAAATGTCAAGGGTGGCCCTAAAGTAGCCTGAGGACAACCCAAATGCCATTGGTGGCCCTGTAGTAGACCTGGGACAACCCAAATGTCAAGGGTGGCCCTAAAGTAGCCTGAGGACAACCCAAATGCCACTGGTGGCCCTGTAGTAGACCTGGGACAACCCAAATGTCAAGGGTGGCCCTAAAGTAGCCTGAGGACAACCCAAATGCCATTGGTGGCCCTGTAGTAGACCTGGGACAACCCAAATGTCAAGGGTGGCCCTAAAGTAGCCTGAGGACAACCCAAATGCCACTGGTGGCCCTGTAGTAGACCTGGGACAACCCAAATGTCAAGGGTGGCCCTAAAGTAGCCTGAGGACAACCCAAATGCCATTGGTGGCCCTGTAGTAGACCTGGGACAACCCAAATGTCAAGGGTGGCCCTAAAGTAGCCTGAGGACAACCCAAATGCCATTGGTGGCCCTGTAGTAGACCTGGGACAACCCAAATGTCAAGGGTGGCCCTAAAGTAGCCTGAGGACAACCCAAGTGCCATTGGTGGCCCTGTAGTAGACCTGGGACAACCCAAATGTCAAGGGTGGCCCTAAAGTAGCCTGAGGACAACCCAAATGCCACTGGTGGCCCTGTAGTAGACCTGGGACAACCCAAATGTCAAGGGTGGCCCTAAAGTAGCCTGAGGACAACCCAAGTGCCATTGGTGGCCCTGTAGTAGACCTGGGACAACCCAAATGTCAAGGGTGGCCCTAAAGTAGCCTGAGGACAACCCAAATGCCACTGGTGGCCCTGTAGTAGACCTGGGACAACCCAAATGTCAAGGGTGGCCCTAAAGTAGCCTGAGGACAACCCAAGTGCCATTGGTGGCCCTGTAGTAGACCTGGGACAACCCAAATGTCAAGGGTGGCCCTAAAGTAGCCTGAGGACAACCCAAATGCCACTGGTGGCCCTGTAGTATACCTGGGACACCCCAAATGCAATGTTGGTCCAAGACAACCCAATGAGTGGCCTTGATAATACTGGCATAACAAAACATAGTACAGGATACATACAACCAAGTGGTCACTTTTTAAAAAATATATATAATTAAACAATGCTTCTCATTTTATTCAATATTTTCACATAATACAAAAAATATTTATTTAAAGTCATTAATAATGGCATTCATACATTTACAATACAATGTCTTTATGAGTTTATTTAGCTATACTGTAGGTTACAAATGCTCAGTTTGTCCAATGATTTGATTTGTTATTCAGCATCGTGACTACAGTGCTATGAGCTTGTAGACAATAGTTACGTCCGTTTAGTCATGTGAATTGTACAAGTCCCTTCACATATAAATAGTAGAGAGTGATGTCCCTTGTTGAGCAGTGTTACCTCCCCTAAGATGACAACCTCTCCAGCTTGGCCTGCGTGGCTTTAAAGTTGGCAATGAGTGAGAGCACCTGTTGGTCAGTGCTGCTGGTGGCCTGCAGGTCCACCAGGTAGTTGGCCACACTGTCCATACAGGCCAGCACCAGACGTTTGCGGTCACTGGCCGGGATCAGGTTAGGATTTTTGGCCAGGTGCTCGATGTAGGCTTGCAGGACCACCAGGACATGGTAGGGCTTCTGTTGGTTCTGCCATAACATGTCCTGCAAGTGTACAAGACAACAGACATAAACATTGGAAATAACAAAATATCTCATTAAAACATGAACTATTTCAGATAAGTAGTGTTAATCTGTTTCTATAACCTTGGGGCATGGAGGGATTGTGTGCCCACCTGATTCACTTTCATTTAATTGAGTCACAGTCAAGTATCAAGGTGGATTGCGACATCAGAAACTGGACAAGATATTTACCTTAGATCTGTAAAGCCTGTCATTCACAAGTTGTTTACCTTATATTTGTAAAGCCTGCCATACAGGCAAGTTGTTTACCTTAGATTTGTAAAGCCTGTCATACAGGCAAGTTGTTTACCTTAGATTTGTAAAGCCTGTCATACAGGCAAGTTGTTTACCTTAGATTTGTAAAGCCTGTCATTCACAAGTTGTTTACCTTAGATTTGTAAAGCCATCATACAGGCAAGTTGTTTACCTTAGATTTGTAAAGCCTGTCATACAGGCAAGTTGTTTACCTTAGATTTGTAAAGCCTGTCATACAGGCAAGTTCTTTACCTTAGATTTGTAAAGTCTGTCGTACAGGCAAGCTGTTTACCTTAGATTTGTAAAGTCTGTCGTACAGGCAAGTTGTTTACCTTAGATTTGTAAAGCCTGTCATTCACAAGTTGTTTACCTTAGATTTGTAAAGTCTGTCATTCACAAGTTGTTTACCTTAGATTTGTAAAGCCTGTCATAAAGTTCCAGGAGCCTTGCAGGGGCAACACCCACTTCTAACAGCAGACTAAAGACCCAGCGAGAATCAAAGTTAAGACGACAGGAATGCTGCTCCAGGTGGCGAAGCACCAATGCTGAAAGTAATAGACAAATTAGAGAAGCCATTAATTAAATTTAAGCTTAAAATAAAAAGAAATAAGGCATGTATCCAGAGGGAAATATCTCTGTAGGAGCCATACATTAAATTAAAGCTTAAAACATAAGAGAAACAAGGCACATACTTAGTGGGAAATATCTCTCTGCGCGTATGTAAAGCTGAGCTATAGAACACAGTCTGTTGCTGATGTTGGCGATTCTGTCACCAGTGGACATTAGGTTGCTCCGAGAAATTTCTAGACAAAAAATAATATGTATACAGTAATTTTTCATCTACTGTTGCCAATGGAGGTCAAATTTTATTAAGATGGAGATGTAGATTCAATTTTTGTATCAACAAAAACTTCAGAATACCACCAGAAATAATGAACAAAAGTAACATCATTGCTTTTATAATAACAGTATACAACATTACCCACCTGTCTACCCCACATTACCCACCTGTCTACCCCTCAGTATACAACATTACCCACCTCTGTCTATAATATTCTGCCACAAGTTCTCAATGAGGGCAGCATCATACAGGCCAGCACAATGGACAATGGCCAGCTTGACTTCATACAGGTTGAATCTGTCAGCATAGTCTTCATACAGCTGATATTAGAGAAGGAGCAAATGTTAGATAAGATGTTGATTTGATTTTTTTCCTCAGTTTTAGAATAGTGTTGTTAAAAATGTATTGGATAAAGCTAAAGTTTGTGGGTAAGACCAACTTGAGATGTATAAAACACTAAGGTATGTGGGTAGGACCAACTTGAGATGTATAAAACACTAAGGTATGTGGGTAGGACCAACTTGAGATGTATAAAACACTAAGGTATGTGGGTAGGACCAACTTGAGATGTATAAAACACTAAGGTATGTGGGTAGGACCAACTTGAGATGTATAAAACACTAAGGTATGTGGGTAGGACCAACTTGAGATGTATAAAACACTAAGGTATGTGGGTAGGACCAACTTGAGATGTATAAAACACTAAGGTATGTGGGTAAGACAAACTTGTATAAAACCAACTCACTGAAGTTATGTCCAGCAACTCAGAGTCCAACCTATTTTTTGCAACTTCCACCTCAGGATCTGCCATATTGGAAAGACATTTGTAAATCTGCATTTGTAGCCTCGCAACCTTTCAACAAATAAAAAAAAAACAACATTAAAATATTTCAACAACTTAACTACTAAAACAACAGATTTAACATAGTTAGGAGAAAATTCTATTCATCATGAACAATATATGATGACCCCAATACCTCCATTTTCTCCTCGAGTTCATGTAGAAGTTCCCCGGCGGCTGAGGTTCCCAGCCTGGAGGTTGAGCTTTTAGCTGAGATAACAGCTCTAGAGAGGTAGTCTAACCTTTGATTGAGACTGATGTGAGAACTGGTGAGAGAAACAAAGGCAATAATCAATGAAAAAATAAACACATTTTTTTAGTTATTTCATGTGAGTCAATGTTTGTACTTAACACACTCATGTCTTTCTACAAGAATCAACTGATGTCCTGAACAAACATACTCATGTACAAGAATCCACCAATGTAAACAAACATACCCATGTCTCTCTACAAGAATCTACCAATGTAAACAAACATACCCATGTCTCTCTACAAGAATCCACCAATGTAAACAAACATACCCATGTCTCTCTACAAGAATCCACCAATGTAAACAAACATACCCATGTCTCTCTACAAGAATCCACCAATGTAAACAAACATACCCATGTCTCTCTACAAGAATCTACCAATGTTAACAAACATACCCATGTCTCTCTACAAGAATCCACCAATGTAAACAAACATACCCATGTCTCTCTACAAGAATCTACCAATGTTAACAAACATACCCATGTCTCTCTACAAGAATCCACCAATGTACTCAACAAAAATAACCATGTCTCTCTACAAGAATCAACTAATGTACGTAACATACCCATGTCTCTCTGCTAGCTGGGCAAGGATACGTGTGGCAGCCTGGAAGTTCTCAGTTTTTTCATAATGTTTCCACAACATGTCCAGGGCAAGTGTGTTATCTGTCTGAAGATTCACTTTGCGACGCAGGTAAGATTCTACATATGGTGTATTGATCTAAAAATATAAAGCATATTTAATACAGTTACCTCATTGGGGTGATGTTTTAAGTGCAAGCTGCTGACCTAGACTAGCAACCCTGTAAGTATAGAGCTATGCCATTGTTGAACAGACCAAACATTTACCTCAAGTAATGTTTCTGCATTTTTTGTGGCAAACAGCCAATCATATAAAGCAGCATGGAATAGTGGGTCATCACATCGTAGTGAAGCTTGAAATGCATCTTTCTAGAGATGGTAAACAAACACTTATTATAACTGGCTACAGCTTATTGTGTCTAAGAGAAAGAGTTAAAAGAGTGTCTATAACTGACATAGGACTCAGCAGCTTGTTCAATGTCCACCCTACTGGAGTCCAGACTAACAGGTGGTCCAGGCTGGCTGGGTACGCTTGGTGTCTGGCGACTGTTGCTGCTGGCAGAGAGGTAGTTCAGGGTGTCTGTGATACACTTGTAGCACTCCATCCTGGGAACAAAAGTATACAACATTTAAATAGGTGGGTCTGTGATACACTTGTAGCACTCCATCCTGGGAACAAAAGTATACAACATTTAAATAGGTGGGTCTGTGATACACTTGTAGCACTCCATCCTGGGAACAAAAGTATACAACATTTAAATAGGTGGGTCTGTGATACACTTGTAGCACTCCATCCTGGGGAACAAAAGTATACAACATTTAAATAGGTGGGTCTGTGATACACTTGTAGCACTCCATCCTGGGGAACAAAAGTATACAACATTTAAATAGGTGGGTCTGTGATACACTTGTAGCACTCCATCCTGGGAACAAAAGTATACAACATTTAAATAGGTGGGTCTGTGATACACTTGTAGCACTCCATCCTGGGGAACAAAAGTATACAACATTTAAATAGGTGGGTCTGTGATACACTTGTAGCACTCCATCCTGGGAACAAAAGTATACAACATTTAAATAGGTGGGTCTGTGATACACTTGTAGCACTCCATCCTGGGGAACAAAAGTATACAACATTTAAATAGGTGGGTCTGTGATACACTTGTAGCACTCCATCCTGGGAACAAAAGTATACAACATTTAAATAGGTGGGTCTGTGATACACTTGTAGCACTCCATCCTGGGGAACAAAAGTATACAACATTTAAATAGGTGGGTCTGTGATACACTTGTAGCACTCCATCCTGGGAACAAAAGTATACAACATTTAAATAGGTGGGTCTGTGATACACTTGTAGCACTCCATCCTGGGGAACAAAAGTATACAACATTTAAATAGGTGGGTCTGTGATACACTTGTAGCACTCCATTCTGGGGAACAAAAGTATACAACATTTAAATAGGTGGGTCTGTGATACACTTATAGCACTCCATCCTAGGGAACAAAAGTATACAACATTTAAATAGTTGGACATTGTAGCACTCCATCCTGGGGAACAAAAGTATACAACATTTAAATAGTTGGACACTTGTAGCACTCCATCCTGGGGAACAAAAGTATACAACATTTAAATAGTTGGACACTTGTAGCACTCCATCCTGGGGAACAAAAGTATACAACATTTAAATAGGTGGGTCTGTGATACACTTGTAGCACTCCATCCTGGGGAACAAAAGTATACAACATTTAAATAGGTGGGTCTGTGATACACTTGTAGCACTCCATCCTGGGGAACAAAAGTATACAACATTTAAATAGGTGGGTCTGTGATACACTTGTAGCACTCCATCCTGGGGAACAAAAGTATACAACATTTAAATAGGTGGGTCTGTGATACACTTGTAGCACTCCATCCTAGGGAACAAAAGTATACAACATTTAAATAGTTGGACACTTGTAGCACTCCATCCTGGGGAACAAAAGTATACAACATTTAAATAGTTGGACACTTGTAGCACTCCATCCTGGGGAACAAAAGTATACAACATTTAAATAGTTGGACATTGTAGCACTCCATCCTGGGGAACAAAAGTATACAACATTTAAATAGTTGGACACTTGTAGCACTCCATCCTGGGGAACAAAAGTATACAACATTTAAATAGTTGGACACTTGTAGCACTCCATCCTGGGGAACAAAAGTATACAACATTTAAATAGGTGGGTCTGTGATACACTTGTAGCACTCCATCCTGGGGAACAAAAGTATACAACATTTAAATAGGTGGGTCTGTGATACACTTGTAGCACTCCATCCTGGGGAACAAAAGTATACAACATTTAAATAGGTGGGTCTGTGATACACTTGTAGCACTCCATCCTGGGGAACAAATGTATACAACATTTAAATAGGTGGGTCTGTGATACACTTGTAGCACTCCATCCTGGGAACAAAAGTATACAACATTTAAATAGGTGGGTCTGTGATACACTTGTAGCACTCCATCCTGGGGAACAAAAGTATACAACATTTAAATAGGTGGGTCTGTGATACACTTGTAGCACTCCATCCTGGGAACAAAAGTATACAACATTTAAATAGGTGGGTCTGTGATACACTTGTAGCACTCCATCCTGGGGAACAAAAGTATACAACATTTAAATAGGTGGGTCTGTGATACACTTGTAGCACTCCATCCTGGGAACAAAAGTATACAACATTTAAATAGGTGGGTCTGTGATACACTTGTAGCACTCCATCCTGGGGAACAAAAGTATACAACATTTAAATAGGTGGGTCTGTGATACACTTGTAGCACTCCATCCTGGGAACAAAAGTATACAACATTTAAATAGGTGGGTCTGTGATACACTTGTAGCACTCCATCCTGGGGAACAAAAGTATACAACATTTAAATAGGTGGGTCTGTGATACACTTGTAGCACTCCATTCTGGGGAACAAAAGTATACAACATTTAAATAGGTGGGTCTGTGATACACTTATAGCACTCCATCCTAGATAACAAAAGTATACAACATTTAAATAGTTGGACATTGTAGCACTCCATCCTGGGGAACAAAAGTATACAACATTTAAATAGTTGGACACTTGTAGCACTCCATCCTGGGGAACAAAAGTATACAACATTTAAATAGTTGGACACTTGTAGCACTCCATCCTGGGGAACAAAAGTATACAACATTTAAATAGGTGGGTCTGTGATACACTTGTAGCACTCCATCCTGGGGAACAAAAGTATACAACATTTAAATAGGTGGGTCTGTGATACACTTGTAGCACTCCATCCTGGGGAACAAAAGTATACAACATTTAAATAGGTGGGTCTGTGATACACTTGTAGCACTCCATCCTGGGGAACAAAAGTATACAACATTTAAATAGGTGGGTCTGTGATACACTTGTAGCACTCCATCCTAGGGAACAAAAGTATACAACATTTAAATAGTTGGACACTTGTAGCACTCCATCCTGGGGAACAAAAGTATACAACATTTAAATAGTTGGACACTTGTAGCACTCCATCCTGGGGAACAAAAGTATACAACATTTAAATAGTTGGACATTGTAGCACTCCATCCTGGGGAACAAAAGTATACAACATTTAAATAGTTGGACACTTGTAGCACTCCATCCTGGGGAACAAAAGTATACAACATTTAAATAGTTGGACACTTGTAGCACTCCATCCTGGGGAACAAAAGTATACAACATTTAAATAGGTGGGTCTGTGATACACTTGTAGCACTCCATCCTGGGGAACAAAAGTATACAACATTTAAATAGGTGGGTCTGTGATACACTTGTAGCACTCCATCCTGGGGAACAAAAGTATACAACATTTAAATAGGTGGGTCTGTGATACACTTGTAGCACTCCATCCTGGGGAACAAATGTATACAACATTTAAATAGGTGGGTCTGTGATACACTTGTAGCACTCCATCCTGGGGAACAAAAGTATACAACATTTAAATAGGTGGGTCTGTGATACACTTGTAGCACTCCATCCTGGGGAACAAAAGTATACAACATTTAAATAGGTGGGTCTGTGATACACTTGTAGCACTCCATCCTGGGAACAAAAGTATACAACATTTAAATAGGTGGGTCTGTGATACACTTGTAGCACTCCATCCTGGGGAACAAAAGTATACAACATTTAAATAGGTGGGTCTGTGATACACTTGTAGCACTCCATCCTGGGGAACAAAAGTATACAACATTTAAATAGGTGGGTCTGTGATACACTTGTAGCACTCCATCCTGGGGAACAAAAGTATACAACATTTAAATAGGTGGGTCTGTGATACACTTGTAGCACTCCATCCTGGGGAACAAAAGTATACAACATTTAAATAGGTGGGTCTGTGATACACTTGTAGCACTCCATCCTGGGGAACAAAAGTATACAACATTTAAATAGTTGGACACTTGTAGCACTCCATCCTGGGGAACAAAAGTATACAACATTTAAATAGTTGGACACTTGTAGCACTCCATCCTAGGGAACAAAAGTATACAACATTTAAATAGTTGGACACTTGTAGCACTCCATCCTGGGGAACAAAAGTATACAACATTTAAATAGTTGGACACTTGTAGCACTCCATCCTAAGGAACAAAAGTATACAACATTTAAATAGGTGGGTCTGTGATACACTTGTAGCACTCCATCCTGGGGAACAAAAGTATACAACATTTAAATAGTTGGACACTTGTAGCACTCCATCCTGGGGAACAAAAGTATAAACATTTAAATAGTTGGACACTTGTAGCACTCCATCCTGGGGAACAAAAGTATACAACATTTAAATAGTTGGACACTTGTAGCACTCCATCCTGGGGAACAAAAGTATACAACATTTAAATAGTTGGACACTTGTAGCACTCCATCCTGGGGAACAAAAGTATACAACATTTAAATAGTTAGGTCTGTGATACACTTGTAGCACTCCATCCTGGGGAACAAAAGTATACAACATTTAAATAGTTAGGTCTGTGATACACTTGTAGCACTCCATCCTGGGGAACAAAAGTATACAACATTTAAATAGTTGGACACTTGTAGCACTCCATCCTGGGGAACAAAAGTATACAACATTTAAATAGTTAGGTCTGTGATACACTTGTAGCACTCCATCCTGGGGAACAAAAGTATACAACATTTAAATAGTTGGACACTTGTAGCACTCCATCCTGGGGAACAAAAGTATACAACATTTAAATAGTTGGACACTTGTAGCACTCCATCCTGGGGAACAAAAGTATACAACATTTAAATAGTTGGACACTTGTAGCACTCCATCCTGGGGAACAAAAGTATACAACATTTAAATAGTTAGGTCTGTGATACACTTGTAGCACTCCATCCTGGGGAACAAAAGTATACAACATTTAAATAGTTGGACACTTGTAGCACTCCATCCTGGGGAACAAAAGTATACAACATTTAAATAGTTAGGTCTGTGATACACTTGTAGCACTCCATCCTGGGGAACAAAAGTATACAACATTTAAATAGTTGGACACTTGTAGCACTCCATCCTGGGGAACAAAAGTATACAACATTTAAATAGTTGGACACTTGTAGCACTCCATCCTGGGGAACAAAAGTATACAACATTTAAATAGTTGGACACTTGTAGCACTCCATCCTGGGGAACAAAAGTATACAACATTTAAATAGTTGGACACTTGTAGCACTCCATCCTGGGGAACAAAAGTATACAACATTTAAATAGTTAGGTCTGTGATACACTTGTAGCACTCCATCCTGGGGAACAAAAGTATACAACATTTAAATAGTTAGGTCTGTGATACACTTGTAGCACTCCATCCTGGGGAACAAAAGTATACAACATTTAAATAGTTGGACACTTGTAGCACTCCATCCTGGGGAACAAAAGTATACAACATTTAAATAGTTAGGTCTGTGATACACTTGTAGCACTCCATCCTGGGGAACAAAAGTATACAACATTTAAATAGTTGGACACTTGTAGCACTCCATCCTGGGGAACAAAAGTATACAACATTTAAATAGTTGGACACTTGTAGCACTCCATCCTGGGGAACAAAAGTATACAACATTTAAATAGTTGGACACTTGTAGCACTCCATCCTGGGGAACAAAAGTATACAACATTTAAATAGTTAGGTCTGTGATACACTTGTAGCACTCCATCCTGGGGAACAAAAGTATACAACATTTAAATAGTTGGACACTTGTAGCACTCCATCCTGGGGAACAAAAGTATACAACATTTAAATAGTTAGGTCTGTGATACACTTGTAGCACTCCATCCTGGGGAACAAAAGTATACAACATTTAAATAGTTGGACACTTGTAGCACTCCATCCTGGGGAACAAAAGTATACAACATTTAAATAGTTGGACACTTGTAGCACTCCATCCTGGGGAACAAAAGTATACAACATTTAAATAGTTGGACACTTGTAGCACTCCATCCTGGGGAACAAAAGTATACAACATTTAAATAGTTGGACACTTGTAGCACTCCATCCTGGGGAACAAAAGTATACAACATTTAAATAGTTGGACACTTGTAGCACTCCATCCTAAGGAACAAAAGTATACAATATTTAAATAGTTGGACACTTGTAGCACTCCATCCTGGGGAACAAAAGTATACAACATTTAAATTGTTAGTTCTGTGATACACCTGTAGCTTTCCATCCTGGGGAACAAAAGTATACAACATTTAATAAATAAAAGACCAAAATTGATAACTTTGGTTAGAGAAAATTATATGAATAGATCCTGGTGTTACAACTTGATCATAGTAAAAAAAAAAAAAATACACCATAAGACAAGAATTCTTAATAAAGAAATAATCACAAATATTTTGTGTAAAACCAAATCTTGCCTGGCAATGTAAGCCTGCATGCCTTGTATGTCTTCAGGTGGTTCTCCATTTTGGTAAAAATGTATTGCCAGCTGTTGGGGGTCAGCTTTTCTGGCCTCGTTAAGTCCAAGTTCAACAATACCCAGATAATAATGTAGACTAGCTAGCTGAGGGCAGATAACTCCAAGATTCAGGGGCTGATTCACTCCCTTTAAAAGATGGAGAGACTGCTGAAGTTGCTGTTGTTTTTCTTGTTGGTTCTGATTCACTTTGGCAGCTTGTAGCAGCTCATTTGCCTAAAAAAAATGTCAAAATCTTAGTCAAACAGTTCACTTTTCTTTTAAAAAATAAATCAATGTGCAGCCAAACTTGTTACCTTAGAACAAGTGGCATCATCAGAGCTGTACAAAGTTGGACAAATTTCTCTCAGCTTTGAGCTGATAGCATCAATAGTTGCATTGTCATCCAGGTACCGGCTGATTAGACAGTTAACAAGTGTGCTACAAATCTGAAATAGATGCACAACTTAGTCCTCTATAATGCACAAACTTAGTCCTCTATAATGCACAAACTTTGTCCTCTATAATGCACAAACTTAGTCCTCTATAATTACATAGATGTTTAGCTTAATCATCAACCATTACATACATGCTTTAACTTAATCCTTTACCAATACATAAATGTTCAAACTTGATCCACTATCATTAAATAAATCCTCAGTCATACTTAATCATCTATCATTAGATATATGCTCAATCTAGTCCTCTACCATTATATATCCTAAGACTTAATCCTCTAAGATTATATAAAATTGTACAATATAAAAATATGGAGAGTAGTCCTTATTGTTACAATCTTAAAACTATAAAACTTTTTAAAAAAAAACTTTACATCTTTTCCGTTGGTTGCCAATGTTTTAAAATTGATGTTGCGCAACTGGCTTTGCATATCCTGAAATACAATGAGAATTATGTAAATTTTGTGTTTTATTAATATACTGTAAAAAAATATGAAAAGTATAATGATCATTAAATAAAAAGATGATCAAATTTGGGAAAATGAATAGGCTTCTAAACGCACATTATTTATATTTTGCTCTAAGACTTAAAGATTGACATGTAACATAGGGTTCCACTAGTTATATTCTAACCTCCGCCATAGCTGCAACCAGCATGTGGAACTGATGGTCAACAAGGATCCTCCACAGGCCCAGAACCTCCTCCAGCCTGTGCAGCAGCTCCTGTACATGTTGCAGGGAAATCTTCTCCATCCTCTGCACATCTGCCTGCAGCCTTTTCCTTGAGTTCTCATCCATTCCACCATCATACCTCAAACCCCTGCCCATGCTTAGTCTGTAAGATGGACAATATGTTTACAAATCTATAGGTCCATGCTTAGTCATTTCATTATAATAGACAACACAATTACAAATCTTTCTACCTATGCTTAATCTGTAAGACAGACAGCATATTTATAATTTATATTTCTGCTCATGCTTAATCTCTGAGCCAGACAAAACAATTATCAATCCTCTGAATCAGTTTTATCAATGACAGGATGGCCAAGGGAAAGAACTCACATGTCAGTCTGAGAATCATGATCAAATTTTGAATTGAAGTCAACAAAATCAGATAAATCTCTCACAAGCTCTAGTCCCATACAAAGTTCTTCCACACTGAAACTGCTTGTTAGCTGAAAGTAAACAATTTGTTTTATTTGCAATTTACACATTTCTTTTTTCATTACTTAGGCTAAATCACTAGTTGAGTCTAAAACTCACAATTTTGTATTCACTTACATAAGTAACAGTCCTTTTCCTACTCTTTGACACAAATTCTGTACAAACTGGCATATCCCAAAATGGTCGAAGGATTCTGGCCAGGTAGATGTAAATGCCGTTGTGTTTCCCAGAATAGACCACTTCATGTGTTGGGTTGGGAGCAGGTCCAAGTGACATCTGGGACTGCATCCCTGGTCCAGCTGGGGTGGACATGTGTAGTGGGGTCATACCTGGAACAGTTCTTGTCAGTTTAAGACAATTCTAAACTAGGTACATCCAACCTAATGGACAAATAACTGCGCTAGGGTCAACATAAAATGTAAAAATAACTTACTCTGCATAGGAGAGCCAGGGATCATTGACATGTTCATTGCTCCAGGGCTGTACAAGACTGTGTTAGACATGTGTCCAGGTCCACCTAGACAAGCAAGCAGGAATGTTAACATAAGTATACAAACTGAAGGTGAAGTAAACAAACTAGCCTTAACTAGAGGTAAAGTTTGACCAACCGCTGCTGAAGGAATGTCCACCTAGAGCAGCAGGCCTCATGCCACTGAAGTTGTACTGCGCTTCCCCTCCATACATGAAAAATGCCATCTTTGCCCAGTCAGAAACCTAAATAAAATAGGCGAGGTTCTCATGTTATTATAGTGCACAAAATAAGCTTTAGAAGCTGTTACAATTGTTTCAAAAACATTTTCAAGCAACATCATTTCAGATATCAAATGGCCATGATTCAAGGGGTGTAAACTCACCTGTTGTTCAGCTGGTGCTCCAGAACATGCCAAGACAAGAGTTGTAGCACATGCCTGATCAACCTGAACAAAACAAACAAACTCATTTAAACATTTTTTATATAAATGGTTGAAGTTTTTTTATGTTATATTAGCACTGGAAATATGATAGCACACAACTGCATTCTTTGATTCACCATGTAAAACTCCATGATATTATAGAGCATTAAAAAAATGTTCATTAAAAAGATAATAACCTTATGAAGTCTGAAGAAAGCTTTAACATGCTCTGAATCAGGTCCTCTACAATCAATCAAGAGCTGACGAAGCTGTTCCAGGGGCCTCAACTTTTGGAGAATGTGGATACCTTGTGCACTCAGCACCACATACCTGCGTGGTGGGTGGGCGTGCTGGGTGACAACACTGGGTGGATCAGGGCGTGCTCTAAGACCTGTAGGTGGAGCTGGTCCCTGATGTGCTGAATACATGACTTCATCAATAGCCCAAGTTTTACCCTCCAGTGGAGCTGTTGTCTACAAAAGGAAGGTTGGCCTTACAGTAAAAATGTCAAAGCAGGCTACAATAACTTACATGATGCATATTTTAGTTCTATTCCAAACCATTCAATTTAGTACAGAATGCACCTACTAAAATCAGAAGCAGTATTGTTATGGAATTTTTAACAATGAAAATGTAGTTACAATCTACGTCAAATTAATGAAAACTAATGAAAATTTAAAAGCATGACTGATACTTACATATGATTCCATAAGATGCTTTTGAAAAGGAAAAGAATCAGGACTGATTCCCCACAACAAATCATTCTCTTTGTTTTGGCTGGCAACAAGCAATAGTGTCCCTGAAATAATAAAATTTGAGGTTATAGTATGGCCTTAGTTTTCAAATAAAAATTTTTTTTTAGGTAAACTTTAGTTAAACAATAAAGCAACACTGTTCTATCATTAGTATTTAGAAAGTTCACTAGCTGCTAGGAAATAAAATGTCAAATACATCTGGCTTACCACTGCTGTAATATGCCGTGTGAACAGAGGAGGGCCGCTGTGGTGCCGAAGTTGCTGAAAAGCCAGGTGGGAGCCGAACATGAACCAAGGATAAAAAGGTAGGTCGTCTTCTTTCTTGTTTGAAAGGAATAGTTGTAAAGTACAGGCGGACACCTGGTGATTAGAAACAATTGAAATTAATTGCAATTCAAGGTCTGTTAAAGTAAAAAATTAAGGCAAAAACAAAATAACTATGTAATAGGTATTTGCTGTACTTTCCTAATAAAAGTACAATCATCACAGTGGCTCTTACCAGATTCAGTGACTGCTAATAACTGTATACCATCAGACTCCCTCTCTGTCACAGCAGATATGTAAACAATAGACTTGAAGCTTGAGGTTTCTATAGTCCTGGATACACATTACAATAACTATTCATTTCTTAATGAACATAAGGATAGCTGGGTTTTTTAAGTACAAAGTGGTATTAGGTATGTGACAGGCAGCTGTAACTTACTCAACTTACTGTAACAATACTTGACCAACTGTAGAAACTTACTTGGCTATGTGACTTGCAGCGTTAAGAATACTAGACTGAGATTGTGACGCCACTCTTCCCATGCTTTGTTTATTTTCTCCAAGATCAAACACCTGTAGGTAGACAAGACATTCAACTCAAACTGATTGTTAGTTACTACACCCACTAATACTAAAAATCAATTCTTTCAGAATGTTTTTTCTTACTTGTATAGTTCCTTTTTGTGTACGTGCATACAAAATCCCCCGAGTATTGTCAATGCTTATTTGAACTATTGGATCTGAAAATATTAAAACAAAATAAAAAATACACCTAAATCAGCTAAGAAGTTAAAACCTTCATAAAAACAAAAAATAATTTCTCTACATACCATCTTCACTAAAAGAAAAGTTAAGGAAGGATGGAATGAGGAATGACAGTGAACTTGTTGAATGGTTGACTTTTCTACACTTGCGACTAAACCAGCCATCTTCAGCCTTAAAATAAAAAAGACATCTGTTAGAAATTTATTTATACAACAGCTAAGCTAAGGAATTTTATCATATCTTATGTAGCATTTGAAATAACTGACCTAGTAGCTCCTTAGTAAAACTGTAATCAACAATACATACTTGGTAAATTAACTCATAGAGACACCCATCTTTTCCTGCCATAAATATGCGACCATTGTCTGCCCCCACTATGTTGGTTATGTAGACCCCATCAGTTGGGATAGAGAAGAGGGGGTCTGGAAGAAGGTGCATTTCACCTCCAATATGGTCACCGCTCCCACCTGAGAAATAGAACTCATTTGTTCTAACTTCAATGTAAAAAACATTTTATTGATAATAAAGCTGAGTGTAAGAAATGAAAAAGAATTAACAACTGATCATTTACCATCTAATGCTTTGAAAAAACTGACTCCAAGTAAAACAATATCAACAGGTGTTGCTAGACACATCAGGTACTGGATGTGAGGCTGGAAGATGTCTGCAGGTAAATAAAATAATCTTTTTAAATTACTTTTTGACTGAATGTTTAATGGAATGATATAGCTTTGTCAAACAAGCAAAATGTGTTCTTGTGATAAGACAGAAAAAAATGATGTGATGAGACAAATGATGAGATGTGAGATGACACTAACCAGGTTTAGGTTTCAATAGGGCAACACTAAGAATTGTTTCACTTAATCCATCAAAGTATGCCAGGTCAGAACTGAAAGACAAAGGAGTTTGCCGTGTGAGAAACTGTAATGTTCAACAAAATTTCCACAACAGTAAAACTACATTTACTTCACAATTTCCAAACATAAATTCAAACAAATTAACATGTTACTTAGTTGATTTAATATTTAAATTTTATAAGAACAAGAACATGTTCGCACTGATTACACAACCCAAAGGTACTGAACCAGATGAACTCTACTTCATCTGCCCTACCAGATTTAAAAGGGTATTTTTACTCTTTTTATCATATATGCATCTAAATAGAAATAATTTTACTAATTCAACATTGTAAAAACAAGAGTTATGAAAGAATATTTTTGAGACACAATGCCATAACTTATTTACTTAAAATACTGTCATTGAAGATACTAACCCATCATCATATTTCCAGACAAAGATATCACTATCAACAGTCAACCATGCACGTTCTATTTCTGGAAACAAACCCATCATACAATTGCACTGCATTCCTGTTCATGCAGTTAAAGTTTATAAACGATTTATGGTTCCAGTTCAAACAATGATCTAGTTCAGTGAAACATTACCATTAGACTAATTAGCATTTTCACTATAATAGATTAACAGTTAATTATTGTAAAATACTATTATAATACAAGGCAAACCTCCAATATACTAATTAGCAAACACTAGTCTTTAAACAAAATGTTCATCAAGGATACTTCCAAATTGTTCCAATAACTCTGGAGGTAGTGGTACTTTTTTCTCAACAGTGATTTCAGACAAAGAATCAAGATAAACTCCCACTTCAGATAAGTTAGGATAATCATGATTGTAGAGTCCACTAAGACTTGCGTGACCTTAAAAAAAAATACAAAAAATGTGAACACTAGTTTCATTCCTTTGTTGGATCTACTACATGCTTTAATTTTTATGAAATTAATTATAATTATAAAACATGGATGTTAGCAAAATTACTGTCAGAGGGAATGCAGAGTAGATCAGCCAGATCTAAATATGAACGATCCTCTTGCATGTATCTGTCCACCTGCCGACCAGCATTGTCCAAAATATCTTGATGTGACAGGGGTGGCATTCCTGGGTTTAAAAGTGACATCATGGCAGTCAGCTGGTGATACTATCCTCCAGCTGTAGTATACATTGAAATACATATTTTTAAAGCGTTCCACAAACAATTAAATAATACACCATAAATGTAATAGTTACAGTTACGTCTTTTGTAATGGTCAGTGTGGAATATGCCTTTTATTTGTCCAATAGTTAGGTTGTTAATATTTTTTGTAATATTTTGTTTAATATTAGAATAAAAAAATAATGTTTGAGAACTGGTAGCAATTGGTTTGGGGATAAAGTTGTCATATTCGTTAGCAAGTTATTAGTTTACACAGTTTACTACCAATATCCTGCCTGTGCCCCTTTTTCAAGAAAATTTCATAATTATAGCAATATTGGATACTGTATTCTAATAAGGTATAGATTACCTTCATTCTCTTAGGGCATTTTTAACCACTATCTACTAAAGGACTGATACAATAATAGGAGGTGGCATTGATTGTTATTTTAGTACAGTAGGCCTAAATATCATAGCTTTAAGTTTAGTATTAGGTTCACAGTTAGAGCTAATTTAGTGTTGACAAGTAGGCTTAACTTAAAATGTTTTATTACTTCTAAGAATACCATGAAACTTTTGGTGATCTGGTAGGACCAGGCTGTCACCAGGGTTTGGTTTTTTTTTTTTAAATGCTATAGATAGGCCTAGATATTTAGATATTATTAGATAAGAGGGCCTAGATCTAGATTCTAGGAATAGATCTACTCTAGAATCTAGACCAGTGTTTCTTCCAGACTTTTTTCTCCAGGGGGCACTTGAAATTTTCGGGAGGGGGGGGGGGGGCGGTAGACTTTCTTCAGGGGGGGGGGGACAGCCCCCCCCCCCCTTCCAAGAGATGCCTAGAATCTGGAAGAATCTCTGATCTAGACTAGATCTACATGAAATAAAATGACTGACCCTACATGACACGACACAGTACAGTACTACAGTTGATTAACATACAGGACAGACAGGTAAAAAGAGTCAAAAGACCAGTAAATTAAAAGTAAATTTTTAATTTAAGGCCTAAGAAAATAGTAGTAAGTAGATCTACATGAAAATAAATACAATAGCCTGGGTCTACAAATATTATTTTGTGTTAAGTCTAGTTTGGTACCTTTAACTCCACTCTTTTTATTGTAACCTAAGTGATAAAGTAATTTAACGAAGTCCAGATCTAGATGTCAGATATCGGCATTAGGTTATATTTCCATGCACTCTGCCGCTTTTTCGTAATTTGCCGGAAACACAAGATTTAAAAGGGAAATAATCGAACAATACAATAATGAATTCCCAATTCTATTTTTAGACAAATCAATGAACAAATTTGGGATTAGGCCTACTGAACTAAAATTATTTTTTTGCTTAGAAATTAGAAAAGTAGATCGCTAAATATTTACATCTATAAATATTGACCTAGATAAATTAACCATACTGACACTACAAGGCTTTTAGTATAAATTAACCATACTGACACTACAAGGCTTTTAGTATTGTTAATCAAAATGTGGACTTGTCAGGCTAGTCGTGGCAGTTTCTTCCAAGCATCTTTTCGCCCCCCCCCCCCCCCCCCTCCCCTGGAAGAGGACCTACATTACAAAAATGTGTTACTGTAATACCACTGTTACTTTCTCAATCCTTACCCAGTCCACATTGTTTAGTACCCTGTCCCTGCAACTGGAATATTGAAAGCAGCTTCCTATTTAATTGTGGGGTGGGTAACAAAACAAACATTAAACAATTTATAGGTATTCATGTCATGGTGGCCAGGAGAAATCCCATCCATGTTATTTACTATGGGAGAGCTGTAAGGTATTGGGCCTACAGCTACTACAGGTTGATGGAATGCACAAGTTTAGGATAGTAAAGCCGAAGCTGTGGGAGGACACATGTAGTGTTTGTACGCTTTAACAGAAGTTTTGATATGCAGCTACATACAGTGCTGACAGAGTGGTCTAGCGGTAGAGAGCTGGACTGCTAACCCATAAGTCTCGAGTTTGAATCCGGGTTCAAGTCAGTAGACCGTCCCTGAGTCCACCCAACTCTGATGGGTACCTAACTCACATTAGGGAAAGTAAAGGCGGCTGGGCATAGTGCTGACCACACTATCTCTTCATATGCAGAGGTCACAGAAACAAGTGAACTCTACTTCACTTGCCCCATAGACCGTCAGGTTTGAAAGGAAAACTTTTTTACATACAGTGCTGTATTTTAAAAGTACAAAGTAATGGAACTTATAAATAGCTTTTTATGAATCCACATTTTGCCATCCCATATTGTAACCCGAGTTAACCCACAAACCAATAGAGACAAAAACAGCTAAGTGAAAGTAGATGAATGGGCAGCACTGAGAAGTTGATAACTGTAAAATTGGTTTATAAAGTCTCTTAAATACTAAATAGTCTTTTCTTGATAATCAGTTACACTATTCAAATTATCACAATTGGCTTGTTTGAAGGCATTCTTTGTTTGTAGGTTATGAAATAAAACATTGAAATTATTGCAACTAACTATATCTTTTAATAATAGAGACAAGCACCAGATGTTGGCTAAGGCAATAACTTAGCTTTGTATCAACTGTCATGTTAGTGCAAAATATAGTGTAATATTTTGTGTTCAGAGAATGCTGTATTTATGAAAAGGCAACTAACATTGTTTATTTCAGGAAAGACTTAGACAAATGTTATCATTTTTACTATCAATATCATATGGTCTCTTTTTATTGGACCCTGGTTGACCTGCTTTAATCTAAAATGCACTGTTCATCACTGTATAAATATAAAATAAGCAAAACATATTGAATTGACTATTAGTAGTAAGCAGTAAGTGACATATATATATATATATATACATATATATATATACACATATATATATATATATATATATATATATATATATATATATATATATATATATATATATATATATATAATATATATATAAAACACAAAATATAATGTATAGTAATTGTATAAATTTCACTTTTAATTTGTAAAAATTCAGAATAAGATAAATGCACATATCATATATTTCAAAGTATCAATATGGTTAAAAGCAAAATACTAATAAAAAGAACTTGAATGCCAAAGACTCCATTTAATTAATAAACCAATCAATATTCAGTGGAACAGGTCTGATCTAAAACAATTGTGTTTAAAATGTCCTTTTATTTCAGTCTTACTAACAACATTTTAATAATGCTTAATATCACTGTTTTTTATGCATTCTATAATTACATGTATCCTGGATTAATTCACTTAATAACAATTACAATTATCAATTTTGAAAACCAATAAGTTAATATATTGTGAGAAACAAATTTAAGAAGTATCCTGAAAACATCTATAAATAAATGCACAAATATATTGTTTGTGCATACATAAATTAATCTGGATTGTATGGCTTCAACAAATTTTCAGAAAACTGTTTGATTTTTTCCACTCCTCGTACTTCCTCAGGCAGTAAAGGCAATTTAATCAGATGGAAATCTTCATACAGATCAGTAATCTGGCAAACAGAAAATGTGAACATCCATAAGTCTTAAACCCTAAATTTTGATGTGGTTCATAGCAAAACAATAGACATACATCAGCAAATTCTGTTACATTAGTGTCCTTTGTAAGTACATTTGTGACCAACCTGATCTAAATATTTGGCTTGAATCTTTTTTCTTGCTTCACACAAGCCACACGCTCTTTCTCCCTTGCGTTGCATGTTTAATTGGTTCACAATTATATTATGTGTATCTATTCCAAACTGTGTAAGCTCTTGGACTAAACGCTCAGTTTCATACAGAGAGAGAAACTCAGCTATACAAACACATATAAATGTTGTTTGGTCCTAAAATAGAAAAAAGAAGTGAAAACACAAAGTTTAATGACATACTAGTGAAGTAATAGATTTTATTAGAGGGAAAAACTACAATGACTTACAGCATTCTTGAACTGAGTATTGACTTGACGTATAGTTGCTAACATCTCTTCAAACTTTGTAGACATCTGATCTGCATTTAAATCTTGCATGCCCATCATACCAGCCATCTTAAAATACAGTTTAACATTTTTTAAATGTTTTTCATGTCAACTATTGCTCTTGCAAAAAATTTCTCATATTCATTTGGAACAAAACCACAAAGTTATCTCAAAGAACAACATTAAAAAAATAAATTAGTTTACTATAGTTAGTACAAAATTACCTGTGATATAAATGGACTAATTTGATTTTTCAGCCTTAAAAGTTTACCCAAACCCTTTTCAACAACAGATGGAAATGAAAGCAAACGCAGGGTATGACCTGTAGGTGCAGTATCAAACACAACAACAGAAAAATTCATGTTTTTCACTAATCTGAAAAGAAAATGATACATTTTGTAACTAGTTTATATCCAACAAGCATTATAAATCAAGTGAATACAAATCTCAAAACAAATTTTATTTTTTTAGAAATTGAAATTTACCTCATTACTTCTGCAAAACTCATTGCTTCATCAATGCCAGGAAAAGCACCCAAAAGCTCTTGAATCATGCCACGCCCCATTGACATCATGTCAGCTGCACAAAAACAAATTTAAACTTCAATGAATTGGGTTTTGGATTAACTAATGGAGAAAATAAATTCAATGAAAACATGACAAACTAAAATACCTTGTTCATAATATTCATCGGGTAGCTCTGAAAATCCCAAGTTTGGATCAATTTCCTGTTTAAAAAACCATTTAAAATTAGTGTTGTAAGAAAATATATATTATATAAATAGTAGAATACAATTGAAAATATATGATGATGCCTAGCCATAATCACAAAAAACATGCCATTTTGAAGTAAGGGACTACACAGCATTATGCTAATAATGTGCTTTAAATTAAAGTGTTAGCAAGTAAACTAATTTCAAAGTATATTACCATTGCATATAAGTTCTCAAAACCTTTAACAAGTGAAGGAACTTTAGAAAATTTCTGACTGAAGGCATCTGAAATGTTGTGAGCAGGATCAGTAGAAATTATTAGCACAGACTCTCTGGCTTTAGCAAGCTGTACAGCTAAGCAGCAACTAGAAAGAAATGATATGCAGTTACCATACATGGTAGTGTTGTTAAAAAATGTTTAAAATTTGACTATGTTTATTCTGTATAACATTTGAATAATCAATGTAATTTAAATATAATCAAACTAGCCTCAGCTAGGTACATTTAATAACATAATTAACTATTTAATGGAAGAATGTGCAGCCTCTCACATACATTTTTAAATTTCTAGCTTTCAATTTCTACCTTGTTGACATTTTTTAAAGTAATTTTGCTAACTTATAAATATTTGGTGGCAATTAATCCTGAATCACGAGGTCATCAAATTAAAAGCTAATTGTCAAAAACAGGAAGTGCAATGCAGCATGGAAAACAAGTTGGTTAGCTTGATTGATTTATATTTCATAGCCAATACATGAACTAAAAAATAAAATTTGTTATGCTCTCATCTCTTAGTCTGATTGTTATTGTATCTTTGATAAGAAATGTAAATTTTTGAAACAAAAAAGTACAACCATGTAGAAACAAAGGGCAAGAGGCAAAATGGCAAAGCAGTAAAATGTGCAACATCAACTGTAGAATTGTGGGTAAATTACAAGACAATTTTATTGCTTGTCTTGCTTGTTATTTTTGAGAAAATATATAAATAATAATGTGAATAGCCCTTATAATTCATAATACTACTTCTTAGCCTACTATACTTAATTAATGATTAAGGGTTGTCCATAAATGACGTCACACTCGTAGGGGGGTCCGTAAATTTGTGATGGTGTGTGATGAGGGGGAGTTCAGATGGTGTGACGTCACACTTTTGCACTATAAAAAAACAATGCTAGAAAACAAATTTTAGCAGTTATTTCGAGTTTTAGAAAACTGTTTTAATAAAATGTAATAGGAATTGATTAAAATACTATATTTTGACAGAGTTCAGACAAGATTTTTAAAAATATCGATGTTTTAAGAAAAATTCAACTGCAATTTTGAGGGGGGGGGGGGGGGTTGAAGACTGAGGTGTGAAGTCATTTTAGGGGTGGGGGTTTGGCTTTTTGTGACGATGTGCGACGTCAAAAAAAGCGTGACGTCATATATGGATGACCCCTTAATAGTTATGGGGGTAAAATTCCATTTTAGCGTATTTTATTCCCCACTTCATGTTCACCTCCAGTTGAGTGTATTTTATTATAATAAACACAACTGAAACACACAAAAAAACTTTAGGAAACCGAAAACAATAGGCCTATTTCTTTATGAATTTTTGTTTTAGTTTTTGATAATTTACTTGAGAAAAAACTTGAGAAAAATCAAAATTTGGAATACTGAATGTGCACTATTTAGATTCTAGATTTAGCTTTTCTTTTGCTCTTGAAAATATGTTCATGTCAATTAAGATTTTCATGGCAATAGGTAAATTACGAAACTCATTATTGCAAGGCGGTTAAGTTTGTATTGTTACAAGTATCTCGCAGGCATGATACTATAAATACACTTATATGAACTCACAACAATGACCCCTAACGTTTTTTTGTGTTTCAGTTGTGTTTACAATAAAATATGCTCAGCTGGAGGTGAACGTGAAGCGGCAAATAAAATAAGCTAAAATGGAGTTTTACCGTTAGGCCTATAGGCTATTTTATACACTGTATGTCACTGTATGACTGTATGACATATTGCTATTCACTGAACTTAGTACTAGATCTAGTAGCAGGTGGGAATAGACTTCGATATATTAATAATTAATAATATAATATGTAAAAATATGTATGAATGAGTAGGCCTAACTAGTAACTAAACTAATGTAATGATGGCATGAGAGTCAGAAGGGTAGAACTTAGAACGTGATGAGACTTATTAATAATAGGACTGATATTCAGCCTAATAGATTTAGTTAATCTATTATATTATTTTAGTATAATTTTAGTTTGTTGACTGACCTGGTTGTGGTTTTTCCGACTCCTCCTTTGCCCCCCACAAATATCCATTTTAAACTAAGTTGATCAATGACGTTTTGTAATGTAGGTTCATATTCAAGGTTTGAATCCCCCTCCTCCGCCATAGTATTAAATATTATAATATAGATCTAGATTAAACTTAGATCTCTTAATCTTACACCCGTATTAGAATATACTAGACTAATAACTTATCTATTGCAAGGAGTTATTGTATCTTCGGATTGTTTTCACTGAGATACGTGGTTGAAACCAGATAAAAAAATTAATAATATTGCCGAATTTATTTTAAAAACAGATTTCTTATTGTAATTTTCACAGTGGACTCTTTGTTAAAATGAATCTAGGCCTAACTAGATTCTAGATCTATGTCTATGTACTAGACAAGTCATCAAAATTTATATCTAGATCTAGACTAGATATAATACTAAATCTAGATCCGTGATCAATTAGGCCTATATTATTTAGCATGTTAAATGGAATTAAAAACAGATTTTTCGCAATGAAATTTATATTTTAATAATACAATTAAAATGCGTATAAAATGTCATTCTAAATTGTTAAATGCATCATAGATTCTGGAAAGGTGGTATTAATCAATATAGGCCTACATTTTACTCGTTAACAATTAAACGATTTTTTCTAAAAAATACTATGCCAATATGGCAATTATGCGGAAGAAAAATCTAGTTTAGGCCGAATTGGATTTAATATAAACTTGTAAACAAATGGTGTAGGCAGAGGCGTAGCGAAGGGGGGGGGGGGGACACATGTCCCCGGGCGCCGACCTTAGGGGGCGCCAAAATGGGTTGGAAAAATAAATTGAAAGGTTGAGGGGGGGTGCAAATCGAAAGTTTGAGGGAGGGGGTGCAAATCGAAATCTAGAGGGAGGGGGTGCAAATCGAAAGTTTGAGGGGGTGGGGTGCAAATTGAAATCTTGATGGGGGTGCAAATCGAAAGTTTGTCCCCGGGCGCCGGGAAGGGCCGCTTCGCCTCTGGGTCTAGGACAAAAGGCCGACATGAAAAGGCCGACTGGACAAAGAGCTGACAGCCAAAAGCTAGACGCCCAAAAGTGTGACAATAGTGTGCTAATGTTGGTAAATTAATTGTTTTTATGGCATTATTAAACCGTACTTAATTTTTAAAAGTTTTAACAAATAGTTTTACCGTCCGGACTTGGAGATACAGTGTCGTGTAAGACAACTGGAAGTGCCGTTAATAAATATAAACATATGGCGCTATTGATAAAGGACCGGGGGCAAAAAACATGACGCCATAAACAATGTGGTCAGAGTTTCTTCTAGGCATCTTTCGGGCTGGAGGGAGGGGGGTGTGTGTCCGAAAACAAGGGTGGGGGGGGGAGGTTGTCGGCTGAGTTATTTAATTTCAAGGGGGGATCCAAGGTCTGGCTTTTTTGTGACGACGGAATAAAAAATTATGGAGGGGGGGGGGGTGTCGCTGAAAAAAACCAAAACCCCTACTCAAACCTCACATTTAACCATATCCGGAAATTTAGTCGGATACGGAAATTCAGGCAGAAGTGGGAGAAATTTAACCCGAAACGAAATGTCATTGAAAAGGAATTTTTATCCAGAATGGGTATTTTAACCAGATTCGAAAATTTGAAAGCGATACTTAGATCCGGAATCGGCACTTTTAACGGATCCGTAAATTAAACCAGATAAGGAAAAAGGACATTAACAGGTACGAAATTATTCAAAACGGAACTTAATTCGGAACCAGCATTTTAACTGACATGGAAACGAAATTTGACTCCATATAATATAAAATATTATATATGGAGTCATTATTATATGGAAATATAACCGCAACCTGAAATTTTACAGAAATCGTGCCTTTATAGGTATGGGGGGCATCCATAAATGACGTCTCGTTTTTTTTTTGGACAATTTATACCTCCCCCCTCCCCTCCGTCACACGTCGTCACAAAAAGCCAACCCCCCCCCTAAAATGACATCACATCCAGTGGCGTAGCCACCGTAAAGCTAGCGTAAGCAAGGCATAGGGGCCCTTTTCTCGCTTGATAAAAAAATAAAACTTTTACGTTGGAATTTTAATATGAATAATTTAAAAAATAAAATGAAAATTCAGTTTCTTTTCTATTGTAGAAATAATTAAAAGTTCCAAAAAAGGCCCCAGTCCTATCTTACATTACAAATAGTGGGATTCAGTGTGTGTGTGTGTGTGGGGGGGGGGGGGCGAACAGCGGGTCAGCGTTACTACTTGATTCAGCGGTCATATTGCACGGGCGCATCAGCCGGCACCCCGGCGGTCGCCTATATTCGTTTTTAATGAGCGCCATACTAAAATCGATTTATAAATCTGTGTTAGATTGTAATCACTGACGAGAAGCCGCGTTGATTGTTAACAGTCTTTATTTACAGCCATGATGCAAAGAGGAAGGAAGTGGCGAGAGACAACTATTTATACATAACATGTAAGGGACATCACTCAAGATAACAATATAAATATAATACTAATACAGAAGAGTGAGTTCCCCTGACCTCACAATTATCTCAATCTATTACAAAATCGAATAAGGGGTGTCTTCTAGCTCATCAGCAATAGTAATGGCTGGGCTCCTGAATTACCCTGCGGCTACCTGAGTGCACGAGATCCGTAGATTGGGCGTTCTACAGTGTCAGGGATACTACTTGTTTCAACAGTCAAACTGCAACAGGGGCGGCTTTCGACGCCCTCGGCGTACAGATAACACCAATCACACAGGTATTTTACAAAGGCAGAGGTTGCAGCTCATGGCTACATAGTGTAACCAGTCAATCCCGAGACACCCCTGATAACTAGGCGGACGCCGAAAGGTATTCAACCTCACAAATACGGGGATGATGTTATTTGTTATAAAACAAATTTTAGATATATGGTGTCACCCCATCATCCCCACCAATTTTGCATTTTCGGAGGGGTGTTAACCCTCTCTCACTAATCTGTATTGTTTTATCTGGATACAACTTAGTTTTGACAGTAAATTTTACAATGTCTTGTCATGGTGTCACGCCTAAATGTTGTCATTCGATGTAGACCGCACCCCTGCCCCCGCCTCATGACACTACTGAGTTTGTTTACTTAAAAAAACCGAATTAAATGGTCAGAACTCTGTCAAAATAGAGTATTTTTGATCAATTCATATTACAATTTATTAAAACTGTTTTCTAAAACGTGAAATAACGGCTAAATCTCGTTTTCTAACATCGCTTTTTTATAATGCAAAAAAGTGACGTCACACCATCTGAACCCCCCCCTCCCCCTCATCACACACCGTCACAAAATTACGGACCCCCTCCCCCCTACGAGTGTGACGTCATTTATGGACGACCCCTATGCAATTTAACTGGAAACGAAACTCTATTCGGAACCGGCATTTTAACCCGATCCGGAAATTTAACTTGAAATAAAACCTAAAATGACCCTAACCCTTATACTAAGGGGTCATCCATAAATAACGTCACGCTTTTTTGGACGATTTTTACCCCCCTCCCCTCCGTCACACGTCGTCACAAAAAGCCTCACACACCCTAAAATGACGTCACACTTCAGCCTACAACCCCCCCCCCCCCCCCTCAAAATTGCAGTTGCATTTTTTTAAAACATCGATATTTTCTAAAATCTTGTCTGAACTCTGTCAAAATAGAGTATTTTAATAAATTCCTATTAAAACAGTTTTCTAAAACGCGAAATAACGTATAAAATTCGTTTTCTAACATTGCTTTTTTATAATGCAAAAGTGTGACGTCGCACCATCTGAACCCCCCCCCCCCTCATCACACACCGTCACAAAATTACGGACCCCCCTCCCCCCTATGAGTGTGACGTCATTTATGGACGACCCCTAACGCTTATTATATATTTTACTTTTCCGGTATTTTCTTTTGCATATCTACTTACTCTTCTAAAATTAGACACTTAAATTAGGCGTTAATTATTTTTTTTGTCTCTGTAATCAATGACCTCATTATCATCATTTTCGGCTTGCAATTTTAAAATCTATTTTTTCCCACGTTTTCTTTAACTTGCTTTCGCCTCTGTTTGTTTGTTTGTTTGTTTTTCCAATCAAATCTTGCGATCGAAATTTCGGGCACTTCCCAGTTAGCTAGCGCGCTGAAAATTTCAGGGAAGCTTTGTTTCGGATGACAATAGAATATTCAACTGTTATTATTACTAAATTGATCCATGGAAACATTTTATTGATCATTTTATACCCCTATATAATTGTACAAAAAACGTGGGGGGAAAAGGGACATAACCCAGTAACTGTAATTTGATGAAAACAAGGTTCGGTACTCTCCCTCTTTTTCTTACTGAGTTGTTGTCACGCGGTGTTTGTCTACAAACAACCAGAACGTAACAACTGGTGGCCAGTATGGGGGAGACGATATGGTCGAGTGGTTGGGCACACGATTGCTAACCCACTCGACACGGGTTCAAATCTATGTGTTCTAGTCAGTAACGTATTCACGCAACGTGTTTTTTACGATTTGTCTTTTTACGAGTTGTCTTCGTTTACCCCAAAAAAAAAGTGAAAAGATAAAATCGATAGCAAGATTTCAATGCAAACAAACAGACAAAGACTAAAAAGTAGAAAATAATAATCATTAAAACAGTTTTAAAAAACCCGCGTTTTTCATCGCTTATAGTAGAGTGATCGCTTGCATTATTGTGATGTATCGCATTTATTTTCTACTTTTTAGTTCAATCAGAAAACGTGGGTTTTTAAAAACTTTTTTAATGATTTATTATTTTTATTCAACAATCAATGACGCCATTCTATTTAGAGTATAGACACTAAATCTAGACTTTACCGGTCATTACCACAATATCTTATCTGGTAACCTTGAACTATACGTGTAGTGTTACTGCACATTTTCAGTAAATATATTATAGATCTAGTCGTAGATCATACCCCTTAAACATGTTCCTAAGCTCACAAAGTTGGTATTCTGAGTTTCTTCAGGGCGAGGTGAGAGGGGAGGGTATGACGGACACTGGTTAAAGTATTAAGTATAAATTATAAATTTTCTATATAAATTCTTTCGTTGGGAGGGGGGGGGGGAGGGGGGGGGGGAAAGAAGGGTCTGGTAGACGGTAGACTTTTTCCGGGGGTGGGGGGGGGGGGGTGTCAGGAGGCGAGGAGGATATTTGCACCCCGCACAAAGACGAGATGCCTGAAAGAAACTCCACACAGACCACTTTTAAGACGAGACAAATAAATTAGGCCGTACTTTTAGTGTCTTTTTTAAAAAAAATCAAATTTCGATAACGTGATTATTATTGTGTCTTGTTTTGGGCATTAATTTTTTAATTATAGTTTACACTAGAATTAATGACGTCATTTTATTGAGTATACTTTTCCGGCGTTAAAACTTAATGTTTTGTTTCATTTTGATAAATTCCTATTCGTTTCATGTGACGTCACTATAGTTCCCTGTGAAAGTTTATATTTCTTTGTGTTTTATCCAGAGCGTTCTTGTCAGACAGACAGACATACATACATACAAACACACAGGCAGAATAGCGAAACTATTATTAAAGATATTTGAACCCTTTTTACCGAAGTTGTATTTATTTATAAAAGTTAAAGCCCGTTTTAGTAACAAGGCAACTAGAGTATCTAATTCCGCTGCAATATTTTCATTAAAAAAAACAACAACACATACACAAATTCAAGGTATAAGCAAGATGTATTTGAGTGAAATAAATAACACCATAACGCGTGTTTGCATCACGCAGAAATTTCATTCAGACTTTCATACCAAACTACAATACAAAACATGTAAGATCCTAGTTTCTGTATAGATTTGCCAATGGCTGACTCAGTAGTGATCTGCGGTAAAAGTTAAATTATATATATATATATATATATATATATATATATATATATATATATATATATATATATATATATATATATATATATACATATATAATAGCGTAGGTAATTTCTTAAATTGTAGTAAAGACATTTAATAAATAATATAGCGCTTTTCTTTTTATTTATTTAAATAGTAGTTCATTATCATATATTTAAAGAAGATCATTAATTTGTCGTTTTTAGTGCATTGGTAGAGAAAAGCTAGTTGTTAAAACGTTTTTTATGCTTTTTTTTCAGTACTTTAATCTTTTTAATACAATAGAGTTGCATGACTAAAAACTATTGCGCATCAAATGAACGTAAAAAATACGCGTATAATAGCGCGGTTAATAATACTATATATAGGAAATTTCACTTAATTCTTTAAAAAAATTAATTAGGCATCCAATTAAGTCAAATTTGATGTCATATTGCATTGTCATCTGGTCTTGACCCACGCGCAAAGTTTGAAACGTATTGGTCAGTTAGAAATGATCGAAATTTTGCTCGGCAGTTTTGATTCATGACGATATGACGAGGAAGCAAGTTAAATAAAAGTTAATAAAACATTTCTATAGCCTTGTATAAGTGCCATTCCCTTTCTGTTGAATAAGAAGATACAAGTTTAGGGGAGATACTCACGCTTTATTTACTTACCAAAATAAACATTTCACTACACAAAATATACACATCAAGCAGTCCATTAAATCTTCGAATGTACAACCTGTGCCATGTTATATATATATATATATATATATATATATATATATATATATATATATATATATATATATATATATATATATATATATATATATATATATATATATATATATATATATATATATATATATATATATATATATGGAGAGTGGAGAGAGAGGGAGAGAGACATAGACCTCTATACTTTGTAATTAATGTAAGATATGTGAAATGATATACGTGTTGATTCCAGTATTAAACCCTGAGCGTTGGAATTGACCATTCTAAAATTTGATAGGTCTACTCTATACGCTTGATATTTTTGTTTCCCACTTAAGTCTGTGGGTTTTTGTGTGAATGAGTATGTGTGTGATGAGGAGTGAGGTCTCGAGGTGTCAGTTCTTGAATTACGAAAACTCCAGAAACGTGTCATAGACCTTTAGAGACCTAGCTGAGTTTTATTACAGGTCTCTCGTAAACCAAAAATTGAAACAGCTGCTGTCATCGAAATTTTAGCTTCAATAAGCAAATATTAAGTACTCTTCCACATTACCGTTTTTTGATAAAGACGTATACCCATCCCTGTTATCGCATTTATCGTAACAGTAAGCACAGCAACCACATACTGGGGAAAAGAAATGAATTTCTGACAATGAAACACCATAGTCTAGAAACTATAGTCTAGTTAAAATCAATTGCTACAACTTTATGATAGACATATTAGCATATGCTTTAATTATACGCCAACAAATTTCTGAGGCTAAAGCAATGCATCTAAATTATTCCTTTTAAAATCTACATATTTTTAATTGATATTTAAGTTATAACAATAATGAGAAAAAGTATACCTAAACATAAAGCAACTATTGCCGCCGCAATAGCAATCCAAATATAATAGGGTGTGCCTTGTGTAGTGTCTGTAAGACAAGGAAATTATATAAATAAGAATCTGATAATGGCAGTCATTGTAGTGTTAGTTGACACTTAGATTTAATTGATCTTTTTTCTGTTACCTGACATCCGTCTAAATCAAGCATAATATATACCGACCTTTCATTCAGGTTTTGTATTTGTTCGCTAACACTTATCTAGAAAAGACCAATACGGGTTTACACATTTTATTCTCCACTTCATTCTCGTGCTTCTGTTCCTGCTGATGTTTCTATATGTGTGCGTGCGTGTACGTATCTTCGTGTGCGTGACTGCGAGTGTGTGAGTATGTAACTGTGTACATGTGTTTTATGATCTTAAAGTAATTATACACAACTTTATTTAATCTAGCACATAGTATTGAAGTAATTACCGTCTTTCAGAAACTCAATGCTTGATGTCACATATTTTCCTACCCCTGTTATTAGTTTTACTTTGTAAGTTTGATAGTCAGACTCGGAAATATTTTTGAACCTCAAATGAAATGTAATCTGATAATCTATTGGGTAGTCGACATGAAAATCAAATTTTGGACTTGAATAATTGTTAGCTTTGTATGTTACATTATTGACTTGCACCATCGGGAAAGTGGGCTCTATAATTGCCCAGACACACACGCCGATTGTTAGGTTCTCTCCCACCATTGGTTTCCTCACTATGTGCTTGTTATCCATGTTACAAAACTCAGGATAGTCTGAAAGTAAATTCTTTGTTTATTTACTTGCTATATAACAGGAGTAGTCGTTACATGTAAATTTTCTATTATTTCGGTGATTTATAAATTTGATTTAAAACACATCTGAAATAGCGTACATCATTATAACAGCTTTATTCTTGTTAATATCATCAAAGATAAAAAATATTAACCAAGTGGCTACTGCTTGTAGAACCACCGCCCATAGTCTACATGTAATAAGGATGTGCTGTTAACTTCAGACATTATTCTAACTTTTTAATAACAGATTGGCGGGAGCCTTGGTTGACTGTCACCCTACCCCTGCCGAACCCTTTATCTGACCCCTGACCCCTCTTATCTTACCTCATTATCTGACCACTAACATAAGAGTCGATAGCACTTTCCAAGAAAATTCTGCCGTAGAGCAGGCTAGAACACATCTCGCCACATGTGGCGATTTATCTTAGCATGAGGAAAATTTGTCTCGTGCCTGTGTAGCTTACAAGTGTCGCGAAGATTCCCCGTGGGTAGCGTCATGAGCTAAGCTAATACAATGGTGAAAGATTAAAAAATTGGTATGAGCACTAATCTCCTGGCCCCGAATCCATGTCTTACCCTAGGGCTTAGGGTTAGATCTAAAGCAATACATATGCACGGATATTCTTTCTTTAATGACTCATTTTTTATGACATTTTGCTGGTACGCTACAAAATTAGGTTCCATCGACACTTCTGTGAAACTGCTAAATGGACTGGACATTTTTTTTTTGTCATTTAAAACTAAAATTCTTTCTTCCCTTTTAAGTTTTAAGTATACGGATTCTATTAAAAAAAATTGAGTGTTGAATATTACAATGTATCATCAAATTTTCGATAGTTTTAAAACACCGAAATTCAAAATTGGATGCAGAATTATAAGGTTCTATTTCTGATATAATGGGACGGCGTGGCCGGATAGTAGAGCATTCGGCTGCCAACCCGAGAATCTCTAGTTCGGATCATCGTTTCGTGTTAGTAGAACGTCTCCCGAATTCGGACTGAGATCTGAACTCCAGACCTTCGGGCTAGCAGCCAAACGTTTTTACCATTAGACCGCTACGGCCCTGTTAAGAAGACAATTAAAGCCTCACAAGTAAAATTATGTTTTCCTGCAAGAGAACTAGTGTTATGGTCAACTTACTGCGACGTATTGGCAAGGAGTGGACAAAGACGGTAAACATAATGAAAGCACACAGCCCAAACCTCGTGAAAGTAAAGTTGATCATGCTTGGTTGCATCAATTATTTGCTAACACTCGACACTTAGTAGAGGAACATGTGACACGCATGGACGTCAAATCTCAAATCCTTTTTTTTCTTTTACAAAGCTGTGATTATATAGAGTCAGAGTTACCTCAAACTTTGGTACAGTTATAGTAGCCTGCCTTGGTTGCACAAATTTCCCCCCACCTCCATTCACCCTTCCCATCCATAACGTTTTATATCTTTAGTGACCTCACAAAAATGGTCATTGCCGGATTGCGACTAACTCCAGAGAAGGTTGTTATTGTAACGTTATAAAATAAAGTTCATAAAGCAAAATATATGAACTGAATAAACGAATAAGCAGATACCTACGACTACTTAATTGTGTGGTTAATGCGGCTGTTAACAACTATGGTCATTGTAATTGACGCAGTAGGACCACGTACATGTTTTGATCGACCCACTATGTATGTACACATGTATGTACACATGCATGACACGCATACACTATAACTTTAAATGTATCTAATTTGATTTTTTTTTTCACAAAAAATGCGTTAAAAACAAGAAATGATGGATGTTTTCTGTCAACATATTCTGTAAAGAAAAGAGCAGTAAACCTTTTACAGTAGCAACAAGTCAACATTTAGATGTGATAAAATAAAAAACAAAGTGAATATTGTCTAGGTGGTAAGTTTGTGATGGTAAGTTTGTGATGGTAAGTTTGTGATGGTAAGTTTGTGATGGTAAGTTGGTGATGGTAAGTTTGTGGTGGTAAGTTTGTGATGGTAAGTTGGTGATGGTAAGTTTGTGGTGGTAAGTTTGTGATGGTAAGTTTGAGATGATAAGTTTGAGATGGTACTTTTGTGGTGGAAAATTTGTGATGGTAAATTTGTGATGGTAAGTTTGTGGTGGTAAGTTTGTGATGGTAAGTTTGTGATGGTAAGTTTGTGATGGTAAGTTTGTGATGGTAAGTTGGTGATGGTAAGTTTGTGGTGGTAAGTTTGTGATGGTAAATTTGTGGTGGTAAGTTTGTGATGGTAAATTTGTAATGAAATAGTAAGAGCCATAGTGACTGATTGAAGGAGCCGCATGTCACATTTATATGAGCCTTTAGCAAACGAGACACACGCAACAGGTACAAACACACGCAACAGGTACAAACACATGCAACAGGTACAAACACATGCAACAGGTACAAACACACGCAACAGGTACAAACACATGCAACAGGTACAAACACATGCAACAGGTACAAACACACGCAACAGGTACAAACACACGCAACAGGTACAAACACATGCAACAGGTACAAACACACGCAACAGGTACAAACACACGCAACAGGTACAAACACACGCAACAGGTACAAACACACGCAACAGGTACAAACACACGCAACAGGTTCAAACACACGCAACAGGTACAAACACACGCAACAGGTTCAAACACACGCAACAGGTACAAACACACGCAACTGGTACAAACACACGCAACAGGTACAAACACACGCAACAGGTACAAACACACGCAACAGGTACAAACACACGCAACAGGTACAAACACACGCAACAGGTACAAACACACGCAACAGGTACAAACACACGCAACAGGTACAAACACATGCAACAGGTACAAACACATGCAGGTACAAACACATGCAGGTACAAACACATGCAACAGGTACAAACACTTGCAACAGGTACAAACACACGCAACAGGTACAAACACACGCAACAGGTACAAACACATGCAACAGGTGCAAACACATGCAACACGTACAAACACATGCAGGTACAAACACATGCAGGTACAAACACACGCAACAGGTACAAACACACGCAACAGGTACAAACACTTGCAACAGGTACAAACACACGCAACAGGTACAAACACTTGCAACAGGTACAAACACATGCAACAGGTACAAACACATGCAACAGGTACAAACACATGCAGGTACAAACACACGCAACACGTAGACACATGCAACAGGTACAAACACCCCTTTTCCCACCCATCCCGCCCCAGCCCCTCCCCTTTTCCCACCCATCCCGCCCCAGCCCCTCCCCTTTTTCCCACCCATCCCGCCCCAGCCCCTCCCCTTTTCCCCACCCATCCCGCCCCAGCCCCTCCCCTTTTCCCCACCCATCCCGCCCCTGCCCCTCCCCTTTTCCCCACCCATCCCGCCCCTGCCCCTCCCCTTTTCCCCACCCATCCCGCCCCTGCCCCTCCCCTTTTCCCCACCCATCCCGCCCCTGCCCCTCCCCTTTTCCCCACCCATCCCGCCCCTGCCCCTCCCCTTTTCCCCACCCATCCCGCCCCTGCCCCTCCCCTTTTCCCCACCCATCCCGCCCCTGCCCCTCCCCTTTTCCCCACCCATCCCGCCCCTGCCCCTCCCCTTTTCCCCACCCATCCCGCCCCTGCCCCTCCCCTTTTCCCCACCCATCCCGCCCCTGCCCCTCCCCTTTTCCCCACCCATCCCGCCCCTGCCCCTCCCCTTTTCCCCACCCATCCCGCCCCTGCCCCTCCCCTTTTCCCCACCCATCCCGCCCCTGCCCCTCCCCTTTTCCCCACCCATCCCGCCCCTGCCCCTCCCCTTTTCCCCACCCATCCCGCCCCTGCCCCTCCCCTTTTCCCCACCCATCCCGCCCCTGCCCCTCCCCTTTCCCCACCCATCCCGCCCCTGCCCCTCCCCTTTCCCCACCCATCCCGCCCCTGCCCCTCCCCTTTCCCCACCCATCCCGCCCCTGCCCCTCCCCTTTCCCCACCCATCCCGCCCCTGCCCCTCCCCTTTTCCCACCCATCCCACCCCTGCCCCTCCCCTTTTCCCACCCATCCCACCCCTGCCCCTCCCCTTTTCCCACCCATCCCACCCCTGCCCCTCCCCTTTTCCCACCCATCCCACCCCTGCCCCTCCCCTTTTCCCACCCATCCCACCCCTGCCCCTCCCCTTTTCCCACCCATCCCACCCCTGCCCCTCCCCTTTTCCCACCCATCCCACCCCTGCCCCTCCCCTTTTCCCACCCATCCCACCCCTGCCCCTCCCCTTTTCCCACCCATCCCACCCCTGCCCCTCCCCTTTTCCCACCCATCCCACCCCTGCCCCTCCCCTTTTCCCACCCATCCCACCCCTGCCCCTCCCCTTTTCCCACCCATCCCACCCCTGCCCCTCCCCTTTTCCCACCCATCCCACCCCTGCCCCTCCCCTTTTCCCACCCATCCCACCCCTGCCCCTCCCCTTTTCCCACCCATCCCACCCCTGCCCCTCCCCTTTTCCCACCCATCCCACCCCTGCCCCTCCCCTTTTCCCACCCATCCCACCCCTGCCCCTCCCCTTTTCCCACCCATCCCACCCCTGCCCCTCCCCTTTTCCCACCCATCCCACCCCTGCCCCTCCCCTTTTCCCACCCATCCCACCCCTGCCCCTCCCCTTTTCCCACCCATCCCACCCCTGCCCCTCCCCTTTACCCTCCCATCCCACCCCTGCCCCTCCCCTTTACCCTCCCATCCCACCCCTGCCCCTCCCCTTTACCCTCCCATCCCACCCCTGCCCTTTACCCTCCCATCCCACCCCTGCCCCTCCCCTTTACCCTCCCATCCCACCCCTGCCCCTCCCCTTTACCCTCCCATCCCACCCCTGCCCCTCCCCTTTACCCTCCCATCCCACCCCTGCCCCTCCCCTTTACCCTCCCATCCCACCCCTGCCCCTCCCCTTTACCCTCCCATCCCACCCCTGCCCCTCCCACCCCTGCCCCTCCCCTTTACCCTCCCATCTTACACCTGCCCCTCCCCTTTACCCTCCCATCCCACCCCTGCCCCTCCCCTTTACCCTCCCATCCCACCCCTGCCCCTCCCCTTTACCCTCCCATCCCTGCCCCTCCCCTTTACCCTCCCATCCCACCCCTGCCCCTCCCCTTTACCCTCCCATCCCACCCCTGCCCCTCCCCTTTACCCTCCCATCCCACCCCTGCCCCTCCCCTTTACCCTCCCATCCCACCCCTGCCCCTCCCATCCCTTGTCCCTCCCATCCCTTGCCTCTCCCCTTTCCCCTCCCATCCCTTGCCCCTCCCCTTTCCCCTCCCCTCCCTTGCCCCTCCCATCCCACTCCCCTTTCCCTCCCATCCCTTTCCCCTCCCCTTTTCCCTTCCATCCCTTGCCCCTCCCACTCCAATCCTTTGCCCCTCCCCCTCCAATCCCTTGCTCTCACCCTCCAATCCCTTGCCCCTCCCATCCTTTGCCCCTTCCCTTTCCCCTCACATCCCTTGCCCCTCTCCTTCCTACCCCTCCCCATTTCCCCCTCCACCTACCCCCTTCCTTAGCCCCTTCCCCCCTCCCCTTTGCCATTCTTCCTTACCTTCCATCCCATTTGCCCCTCTCCTTTCCCTCCCCTTTGCCCTTTGCCCTTCCCTCCTTCCCGCCCCTTTGATTGTTTAGCTTTAAATATTTAAGAAAATTTAGCTATTGTCATGAAAGTAAATTTAGCTTATGTCATGAAAGTAAATTTAGCTAATGTCATGAAAATAAATTTAGCTTATGTCATGAAAATAAATTTAGCTAATATCACGACAGTAATTTTAGCTTATGTCGTGAAAGTAAATTTAGCTTATGTCATGAAAGTAAATTTAGCTAATGTCATGAAAATAAATTTAGCTAATATCATGAAAGTAATTTTAGCTTAGGTCGTGAAAGTAAATTTAGCTTATGTCATGAAAGTAAATTTAGCTAATATCATGACAGTAATTTTAGCTTATGTCGTGAAAGTAAATTTAGCTTTTGTCATGAAAGTAAATTTAGCTAATGTCATGAAAATAAATTTAGCTAATGTAATGAAAGTAATTTTAGCTTATGTCATGAAAGTAAATTTAGCTAATGTAATGAAAGTAAATTTAGCTAATATCATGAAAGTAATTTTAGCTTATCACGTGAAAGTAAATTTAGCTTATGTCATGAAAGTAAACTTAGCTAATGTCATGAAAATAAATTTAGCTAATATCATGACAGTAATTTTAGCTTATGTCGTGAAAGTAAAATTAGCTTATGTCATGAAAGTAAATTTAGCTTATGTCATGGAAGTAAATATAGCTAATGT